GCTACATTATTTTATGAAAGGAGTATGGCCACTACCCCCTTCCCTCCTACATTGTTCAATTCATTTGTGTGGATCATCTCCCAAATTAAAATTTTTGGAATAAGATGTACTATGATTGTTTTGAATTACCAGCAGTGTTTGAGACTCAAATCTATAGAGCACATTATAAAACAAACTTGCTCATTGGATTAAATAACAAATGTGTCCTTCAATGGAGAAAGCGATCAGAAAATAATAAGGACAGGTAAGATTTAAGGTTTGCACAGCGGTGAGTATGAAGATTTCTGTCTTCTGGGTTGTTACGCTGTGTAGTCTGGTCGATGTTTACCAACGTTTCAGAGGTCATACTGCCTCCGTCATCGTCCTGATGACGGAGGCAGTATGACCTCTGAAACGTTGGTAAACATCGACCAGACTACACAGCGTAACAACCCAGAAGACAGAAATCTTCATACTCACCGCTGTGCAAACCTTAAATCTTACCTGTCCTTATTATTTTCTGATCGCTTTCTCCATTGCGTGTCCTTATAACATATTCATATACGATGTTAGTATGAAACAGTGTGACTTTTAAGAAGTCATGGAACAAACGCCATGCAGCAATAGACTCCAGATGAAAGGTTGAGGCAGATTATATTTATCCCTGAATGGCATTAGCAATTCCAAATAAAGTATACATTAGTATTAAAGCATCAAGAAGTTTTTTAACTCTTAAGTCATTGTAATTAAGAAGCACAAAGGGAGTTTGGATAATTTTCATCATGAAGGTGGCAATTTACATACAAGTGTTTTTGGTTGTGGGCTAAAACAGTGGGAAATTTTTGTTTTAAGAAACTGTTGGTGTGTAGTTGGATTTGTAGTAGATGTGAGCGCATTGAATTTGTGTATGTTACAGAACGTTTCAATGAGACCATCTTTGACTCACTAAACACATATTTGCTGAACATCTGCGAGGTGTGTGGGAGCAGCCAGTGTCCGTATTGTCCGATTTACAACCTGGCCACTGCCCTCCCAGTTCCTGTCACAGTGATACTAATGACTTGTATCATCACAATACTGCGGCACTTTCGTTCCACCTACCTGTAATACGTGTGATGAACAGCTAGCAGCGTGGGACTTTCAAATGAGTGTTCTGTTGGTAATGTATTTGTACAGGTGGCGTTGATGGAGGTAACAAGGAAAGTAGAGGAAGCAAGCCATAAATACTTAACTGCATTAATTCAGGAAAAGTCAGGTTATGTCACATAAGTGTGTGAGTGAAAAGGAATTTGGAAAGGTAATTAGGAAAGACAGGCCACCTTTACATTTTTATCTACCCCTCTTTGTGTAATCTCACATTCTGATATTAGGTCTTATTCCTGACCTACTTTGATTTGAAGTTGGCATCCATGCAGATCTGAGTTGGAATAGCTTTAATCACTGGAGTGATGTACTGCAAGTTCGAAAATTGGTGTATAATTGCCAGCCAACAGACCATGATTGGCTAGGAGCTGTTTACCTGGGATTGAAGCAGCCAAAGTAGGAAGGTGACCACCTACCTCCAAGTAGTGCCCAGGTTAAGAAAGCATTGAGCTTTACCACCACTGCACCCATATTCCTTCATGGTATGGTCATTAGGATAACTTTACTTTTAGAATGCAAACTTATTTATGCAAGTCTGCAAGTTCTTTGAAGTATTTAATTTTGTCTGTATGGATTTATACCTCATCATTTAAAGTGCCATAATATGTAATATTCAGATGTATCTGAATATTGGTGGGTTATGGACTGAGTATCAAAGATTTAATTTCTTGCAGAAGTGTTGAATTTCCCTCCTCACCACGTTCAGAATCATTCTGGTTTAGCGTGTTTCCTGCCCTTTCGTGAGCAGAGCTACAGAGCCTGAAGCTATTACTATGATTATTCCTATCCTTGGAAGGTTTTCCTTCTGTGCCACGTAACAAATAAGGAAGCTTCCGTACTTCCAAAACACTTAACACATTCACTGCCAAGCTTTTAAATACAACCATTATATTAAATGTCAGGGTTTAATGTCCAAGAGTGTGATTTTGTCTGAAAAAAGAATTATATTTTGCAAGTTTATGAAAAAAATAAAGGATATTTTACATTACTTCTAGTAGACTTCGATAGAATGTGTAGCATCCTTCAGGCAGCACAAAAATTATCGTTTCCCCTAGGACTTTTGTTTGAGACACTCTTTGCAGTGTCTTGTCAAGTATTTGTGAACCTTTGTGGTAGGAATTTGAATGATCTTTTTACCATTTTCCCATACATTCAGTGTTCTTTTAGATGCTCGTTTTCATGGTGTGGGAGTGGAGATGTCCTCATCATATGATAGGAAATTGTTACACAATTAGCATTGATTAGTGCTTCACTAGTCAAGAAATCTTTTCTGTAGTGTTAGGAGTCTGTGATTAAATAGTTGAAGACAGCGAACTGCGGAAGATAAAATAACACTTCCTTCATACTCTTTATTGTCTTTTGTATTACATGGAGAAATTTCTTTATTTTCACAATTGTTATGGACTGCCGCTGCTCAATGTGTTGATTTATGCCTGGCTTTGGCAGCTGTTACAACTTGATGTCGTGTGTACAAATTTGTTTGGTTTATGATTATTGCATGAGATCAGGGATTATAAAATGCCCCAAGCATTAATTCATGTTGCTATCTCAGTGCAAATTGCAATGCAGGATTGGCAGTGAAGGTTGGAATGGTGCGATGATGATGATGATCTCATTTTGAAAATATTGGCTGACCCTAGTAATGTGATGATTCTGAAATGTCTTTATTGGCTTTTGATGATAATTCTGACAGCTACTGTGACTTATGTAGGTTGGCTTATTACTGCAAAGACCAAACAGGAATGTGTTGGGTGTGTGATGAGGGAGGAAAATACAAATTAGAGAAGAAAAATGGGCACTTGGTAATGTCTAGTGATCTAAGTGGCCCTTAACCTGTATTCAGTGAAGATTCATTCTTCCACTGTCATATTCAATTTGTAAAGAGAGGTGCATAAGATCAAAATGAAGTCCACTCTGGCAGTATTAAGAAACCTCATTGATAAATCAATGGAAGTCTATTTTGGCAGTGAATGTGTTAACAGTGGAGAGAGTTCTTCCTCCAAGACCATATCCATATGCTTCTTCGTCACAGGAATGTCTTTACTTTTGCATATTTCAAATGAGGTATTTGCCATACTACCATTCATAAGCCTATTGAAAGGAGTGGGATATTGATGAGAAAATGTTATAGTGTCAGTCATTTCCAGTCCATTAACTGTGCTTATCATTTAAAGTTAACTATGAGGAAATGTCTATTCGGGAATGAATCAAGGTGTTAGAATTGTGATACTGAGCAATAATTACCCTCTTCTAAATTTTATTGATCTCAAATTTATGATACCTAATCTTCATATAAATTCACATGAAACAAGTATAACATTTAAAGTTAAAAGAATTTTGGTTATTCTAAAATTAAAATTTAAATCCTGTAAATATATTAAACTTTTGTATGTATAGAGAGTTCTAAGTAGAAAAAATGATAGTTAATGGTGTAGTAAGATAAATTGTAATATAGGGACCATAGTACAAGAATGTATTAATAATTTTATAAGAACCTCTGGGATGAAACTGTTTTGGGCATAGGAAGTCATGATATTTTTGGGAATTTCGGTTTGTGGTAAGCACATGTTCACATATTTTTGTACAAAATAACATGGAGCATGGTGTATATACATCTGTGTAAGAAAATAAATTAAGGTATTAATAATTTTATAAGAACCTCTGGGATGAAACTGTTTTGGGCATAGGAAGTCATGATATTTTTGGGAATTTCGGTTTGTGGTAAGCACATGTTCACATATTTTTGTACAAAATGACATGGAGCATGGTGTATATACATTTGTGTAAGAAAATAAATTAAGGTTATTTTTACCCACAAAACATAACTAACTAGATGGCTTACCGAACCCGAAGATTCATCACCAAATTAACCAAAGCCCTCCACCGGATTCTGTCCTGGGCCAACAAAATCCAGTCTCCTTCAACTCCTATCTCCCATAGATCCCGCCTGACATTATCCTCCCATCTACGTCTAGGTCTCCCCAGTGGTCTCTTCCCTTCAGGCTTCCCAACCAACACCCGGTGCACACCTTGTCCCATCCATGCTTGCCACATGCCCCGCCCATCTCATTCTTCTCGACTTAATCACCCTGACAATATTGGGGGAGGAGTACAAATTTTTAAGTTCATAATTATGTAGTTTTCTCCATTCCCCATCGTCTTCTGTCGTAGGCCCAAATATCCTCCTCAACACCGTATTCTCAAACACCTGCAATCTATGTTCCTCCCTCAGAGTGAGAGACCATGTTTCGCACCCATGCAAAATAACAGATAATATTTTATATTTAAATATAGTTGGTTATGTGTGTAAAATGAAGTATTTGTTATCATTCGGATGAAGAAATGCAGTGCCGTAGTAGAAATTAGGTGAAACAGCAATCAGCCATAGTCAGTAGACGTTGATTTATCGTGTTTATTTAGTGTTTACAATGTAGGCAATATTGGTGTGCATGTAGACATGAAATTAAGATTTGTCTGTGTTGAATAGCAGTTCCAAGTGTTGAAATGCCACATTGGAACTGTGTCTGTGATTTTGTGGGGGTTTTGCTATTTTCCTCGATCCCTGCAATTTATCAGTCTTTATACCTATTTTTATCCATCTTCTGTGAGTCTAGCTGGCTGTTTTACGGGATGAATCTGCTATTACTTTTAATAACATGCAGAGGTTAGCATAGGAGAATGTACAGATTGATTCGTTGGTTATTTAACAATATTTTTTCATCTGCGTAGGTTTTGTAGTACCAGATAATGGATGACTGTGATTGACTGTTTGGAAAGAATATGAATTGAAGCAATCATGGAATGTTTATAGTAAGTGGACCTCCTTGCCAAGATTGAGGCCAGGACCTTCCATTTACCATCATGTCACTGTTGGTGTAGGTGTTAGTTAACCTGACTGAGAATTTTATTGATTTTTGTAATTACATTGAGTCAGTTTCCCTGGTCATGCCCTCTCGCTGTATCGTCATTCTTGAATCAAATGGTGTCCTGTTATCGATGGTATGAATTCATTATTTTCTGAAGTTCTAAATTTTAAAATCCTGGAAAATAGGAAATTATGTTCTGATCCCATGTTCAAGTAAATTTAACATCTGAGAAGAAATTTTATTGTGGTGGATTTTGTTTTCATATTTTCAAATAAATGGACCCCAAAAGTAGAGCAAAGGGGTCCTCTGTCAGCCTTCGTCTGACACTGAGAAAATCTTGTTCCATAGACTTGTGTGTTAAAAAATGTATAAATTATACAAAGTAAGTTGGACTTGTGGCATGTCATATACTCAGATAAATAGACCTTAAAGGTCTTCATTGCTAAATGTCCACTTCCCTTGTTGCCTCCTCTCAGATAAATAGACCTTAAAGGTCTTCTTGCTAAGTGTCCACTTCCCTTGTTGCCTCCAGAATGATAGTCGCTTTAAGAGACGGAAGAGTTTGGGTGAACTGGAAAGTGTGGAATAACTTAGATCTTAAGGTACCAACTGTGCATTAACTAACTAGTTACTGGTAACGTGACATGTGTAGCTAGCTTAATTAACTTATTTTTATGTTGGACATCATGTCTGCAGTGACCTAAGTGTGGCTGCAAAATTTCAAGCACAAATGAAGAATTGGAATAGCAGCAGCATTACGGACTCTTCACACTCCTGAGAGGATTGTAGTGAGGGGAGAGGAAGAAGGGAACAATGTGTGCATGTACAGTTTTTTAATTAAACGTGTGAAGTATAAGAACATATTATGTTCGCATATTTTTAAATTTAGATGATTTTGAGATTTTTTTATAACATATCTCCCAAGATTGAAGTGGTAAATTTTCTTGGTTGGTATGATTTTTTTATAACATATCTCCCAAGATTCAAGTGGTAAAATTTCTTGGTTGGTATCTAAACTCATGGATATGTGAATTGAAGAGATATTTAATCATTATAGTATTCTATATTGTTCTGTTATCTTAATTTATATTGCCCATAACAAGACAAGGTGTTTGCAGGCGAATTCTCATAGATTTTAAATCCTAGATTCTAAATCCATAAACACAGTGTGTAACTTATATTGTTTGAACATGTCTAACATCTTCAGATTTTACGTTACATATGTAGTGTTTTTCGTGAAAGGTGTTTTTAGGTAAACTAATTTGTTTGATGTTAGTTCAGCCCTAAAGAAAGGAATCTGATGCTATGGTTCCGAAACTTATCACTCAGAATACGTGAACTTTTATTTAAAATTTTATTTATTCCTTTGTGTATACAGAGATGTCACAGAGAACTACAGAGTAGCACTTGGCTATATACAAATGTTTATGCCTTACTGTTCCCAAATGCCACCTTCAGCAATCTGGTTCCATTCCTGTACTGGTCATGGCTCGTAGAATGCCTTCCTTCCACATCTTCCTTGGTTGTCCTCTTCTCTAATTGCTTTGTGGAGTCCAGTTGTGTCTTATTCTTGGTCATCTTCTTTTATCCATTTTACATGCCCGTATCAATTCATTCCTTTCGTTTGCAGTCTTGCTGTGTTACATCCTGTTCTGTCTTGGCAGTTATTTTACGCTAATTTTCAAATTATAAATTTCTACAGCAAGTAATTTATTTTTTCCCCCTCTTTCATAGTCCATGTCACACCTATAAGATGCAACAGCTCTCTCGTTCATAGCTGAACCAAAGCATCTGCATGTCTTGTTGACGACGTGTGGATCCGTACATATCAGCACAAAGTAATTCTTTGCCTTGACTGATTCTGGTATTTGTTTTCTTAGCCTCATATTGAAAATATATCCATAGTCCTTGTCATACTTATGTGCTGGCAGTTACTTCAGTTTCTGGTAACTGAAAGCCAGAGCCTAAATACTATTCTTGGCAGTGTTAAGGCCGCCATTCACGATCGCTCCAGATGGATGACGTCCAAACGGATGTCGTCCAAAGAGGTACTACATTCACGGTCGCGTCACGCCAGTCGCGGTTTGTTGTCCCTCTGTGAAGTGCGTGGTGTTTGCGATGGACGAAGAATTGGTACTAGCTACGGCAGTATGCCTGTATATTAAAAG